AATTCAAGATCAACCCCTTGGTCTTGGGAGAAGTTCTACACTTGGGGACTCCATTGTCCACCATAGCTTTGGAGTTGTGGTATTATTTTCTTATGTATTTCATTGTATTTCATCATTTCAATACTTGTAATTTCATTATGTATTGTTCTAGCTAATTTTCCATAGCCAAGGTTAGAGATGAAACTTTACGCACTCTAGGTGTTTGATGTATGTTCTCAACCAAATTATTATGATCTCTCCTTTATATTTTAATGTGTATGACTACGGTGTACAACGTATGATTATATTGTTGGGTTTATTTGAACAATTAATGTTGAGTTATAAACCGTGCACTTAAAGGTTAGACATATTCTAATTGCGGATAGAAATATACCTCAATTGAATATGGTGATTTTAATAATGTCCTAATCTTCAATGGGGTTAATTTTAGATGAATGTGAACCGTGACGGGATTCACACGTAGAATTAATCACAATCTCGCTGCCGTAACAGGAGTTAGAATACTTTAGAGACATTCCACTCATAAGAATTGGTGAAAGAATATACATTAACCGCTAGGAGTTGTTTAGGAGTAATCCCGAACCCTTGGTTGCTTTTATTATTACTTGAAAACCAAAAATCTTTACTCTTTTACTAAGTCTTTTATAAAAATCTATTCTGATCTTATGAATCATATAAACAACGTTTCCTCGTGTTCGACTCGGTATTTTTACCAGATTTTATTACTACATTGGCACTTGTACACTTGCAAGTTTTAGCCGATCAACATGTTCATTGCCTTCATCTAGAACTAGGCGGCTCAAGTGGTCAGCCACCAAGTTCTCCATCCCCTTTTTGTCTTTGATTTTAACATTGAACTCACTTAGGAGAAGTGTCCTTCGAATCAACTTTGGCTTGGCCTCCTTCTTGATCATCAAGAACCTAAGTGATGTGTGATCGGTGTAGATGATCACCTTGGTTCCAAGTAAGTATGACCTGAATTTTCAAGTGCATAGATGACGGCCAGCATTTCCTTCTCGATGGTGGAGTAGTTGCGTTGGGCATCATTGAGAGTTGTTGATGCATAATAGATCACATGAGATGCCCTTCCAATCTTTTGGCCCAAGACGGCCCCTACCGCATAGTCATTTGCATCACACATGATCTCAAATGGAAGAGACCAACCGGGTGCTTGAATGATAGGAGCGGTTACTAGCTTTTCCTTCAAAGTGTTGAAAGCCTTCTTGCATTCTTTGGAGAAGATGAATTCCAGCTCCTTTTGCAAAAGTGTGCACAAAGGAGATGCAATTTGGTGAAGTCTTTGATAAACCTTCGATAGAAACCGGCATGCCCAAGAAATGATCGTATTTCCCTAATGGTACTAAGATAAGGATCAACTATTAATTACATTCCTATTAATATTTGAGCTTTGTGCAGGCTTGTGACAGGTGTCAACGCACCGGGACAATTACTAAGAGGAATGAGGTGTCCCAGACTTTAATCTTGTCCAGTGAGGTGTTTGATGTTTGGGGCATTGACTTCATGGGACCGTTCCCGACGTCTAAGGGTAATAAATTCATTCTTGTTGTTGTTGACTATGTGTGACACCGCACCCGATTGCGCTTGAAAGTTCTATTTGAAAATTCCTTAATAATGTATTGAATTTCCTATTACCAACCTTGTGTAACACGAAAGATGTTTTATGTAACTGATGCCTTGGCATTGTGTAAAACGAGTAACGTTCTATGTAACTAATGTTCTATTAACCTATCGTTGTAATACGTGTTTCGTGAGTGAGTTTCCAAATACTTTATGTGGGCCATCTTGGTATAAGAGTCCGATATAATATGAAGAGAAATCACATTACGAAAGCACAAACAATAAGACCCAATTTTCCACCGTAAGGGAGTATCGGTAAATATTTTCCTCCCGAATTGATTTGGACCGAAGGGGGGTGCGTCCCACACCTCCTTGGCACTTGCAAGACAAAGGGAATATAGTGTAAATATTAGTTGGGGCTGATTGGAGAATAAAATGATAAGGCATGGACCCCATTTGTACTTAATTAGTGACACTTGATGGAGAATCATCCACATCTCCCTCATCCCACTCCACACAAAGGGAATAACCTTTGGGGAGGCCTAAGGGGAACCCTTAGTACCCCCATTCGGACTCCCTCAGCTTCTTGAGGAAGAGAGCCGCACAAAAACAAAAGAAAAGCAGAGAGAGTAAACTGTCCACTGATTTTCATCACTGTGCGTAGGGTTGTTTGTTCAGCCCATATCTCGAGCTTCACTCGTTCAAATCAGGTGTGTGAGGTGTCTAACAAAATATCTGAAGACGAGGATTCTATAAAGGTGTAGATCACAACGATCGGAGTTGCGGAAGGCCTCCAAATCTGCGTTGGAAAGTATGAACTAGCAGGAGAGTTTTTCTTCTCTAAAGGTGAGTTGAACCCAAAACCCTTGTTTTCTTTACCTAGATCATAGGTACGGTTGAGGGGACTATTGACGTGCACTTTGTCGTGAGGTGCACTCAAAGTAATAATACAATACAACTCAAATACGTAGTATAGTGAAGTAAGGTTCGTATCCACAGGGAAAGGAATACTTTTCTTCTTACAGAAATAGATAAGTAACAATAAGGGGGGTTTATATTTGGTTGATGAACTTTAAATTATATTTAAATACGAAGATGAACGAGTTATGTGGTTTAATTAATGAGAAGAAGACTTGGCTTTGCTTTTATCCACTTAATGAAATGTTCGTCGATCCCGGTTATATCTTTAACTATCTTCCTCTCGAATACTCAATCGAGGAGTAAATCCAATTCATCGAGGGTAGTTATTAATAACGAGACGCGTTCATTAATAAAACTTACTACCGAGTTAATATAGAACACGCGTCGTATATTCACTCGATAGTAGCAATAAAATCAAGATGAAAACGATTGAGATTGATAACCTCAACACAAGCGGTTTATTGGTTTAATCAATATAATTAATTCCCCTTGGTTTATTAACCATGAAACGCATGCATTAATAACCCAAGTTTACTACCGCGAAAGGACCGAATTAATAACAAGCGTATTAATCGACCGATTCTAGTAATAATTAATATATGAAACAAAACTAGTTGATCCTTTAAGTAATGTTCAAAATATTAATATGAAATATGAATAGGAATTAATTAATACTCAAGGAAGAATATTAAAGAAGATGAATCCTACTATAGTTAATATCAAGATGTTAACTAATTGTCATCTTAGTAACACTCCCCGATATTAACGTAGAGGAAGAAATAACTATTACTATAACTAATGTCAAGATGTTAACTAATTGTCATCTTAGTAACACTCCCCAACATTGATATAGAAATAGTATTTAAAGAAAGAATTAATATTCAAGGAAGAAGATTAAAGATAATAACTCACAACTTACAAATTCATTAAGCTTCAAAGTAGCAAAACCAAGATGGAAGAGTTTAGCTCCTCATTTGGAGACTAAACATGATGAAAAATATAAAGAAAGAACTTGTCTAAACTGAGCTAAGAAGTATATGTGAATTGGTGATTTATTGTGGAGGAAATGGGGTGTATTTATAGGCTTTTTGGGCTTGCAGGGTCATGTACCCGATCGGGTATATTGGGTACTCGATCGGGCCTTCAGTTGCTTCGCGGAAGCTGGAAAAACATGGGCATACCCGATCGGGTATGTCGGCTACCCGATCGGGTATAGACACTCGATCGTGGTTAAAATCTTCTCTGCATGTTGCCTTGTTCGCGGATTTATCCGATTTGATTTTTCAGCAACTTACCCGATCGAGTATAGGGTATACTCGACCGGGTACAACACCAAAAATCAGGATCTTCATTTTGTTTTGGAATTTTTGCACCTTCCTTCCACTTGTGATGTTCACCAATGGTCTCTAGAGTGGTCTTGGACTTGTTTGAGCTCAGAACAAACCTAATCTAAACAATTTACAAATATTTTGCAAACTAAACTATTACACCAAAAGTGTGTAATTTCTAGAGTAACAATCACTCAAAACTAATCAAAAACACAATTATAAACATGGAAATAACATGAATGTCAACTATTCTACCCTATTCCAAGAGTAGAATATGTTCTTAAAATGATAAATATATGAGTTTAAAGGTTAGACACTAACCTAGAACGAACCTTGAACTAATAGGAAGCGAACTCGCCGGAACACACCCTTTCTAGGGGCTGTTTTCAGTTCGTTGGGTAAGGGCTGGGTTGAGCCAGCTGCATGAGCAGGCTGCTGATCACCCATTTTCAAGCAAGGAGTCAGCTCCCAGCTGTCCTTGGACGAGTCTTGATCGTTGGATCATAAGAGGAAAGTTTAAAGCTCATTAAGGTGAGGATCGACATCTAGTTGCTTACAACTTGTAGGTTATGCGTGAGATTACCTAAATGTTTAAATCATGTTTTTCATGGATAATGATGCTTGAACATGATATGATCACTGAGTAATGGACTTACTTATAAATTGAAAGCATATTGATGAATATGGAGTTAAATGAGGAATAAATGTGCGATTATGTTAATATAGGCATTTCTAACTCATATATGAATTGCATGAATCTGTAAATGAATATTTGTATGATAAAATTGAACATATGAGATGCTGCCACATCTCTAGATATGTAGGTGCTCACGTTATGAATGTATGAATTGTTAAGGATAAATCTTAATAGTAATGAAGTATTAGTTAAGGATTTGTTTGAAATTGTTGATAGGATCAAATCTAAGGGTTAGATTATTTGTGATGCACTTGAATAGACTTCAAGTGTAAATTGTGATTTAGTGTGGAACTAAGATCAAGTTAGGGGTAGTCCATAGGGATGTCCCAAGGTAGTTTAAGGGTATGAAAATTCCAGGCATAGTGGTGCTTAGGAATTGGGGTCTATGCCAATGTAATTAGTTGAACTTAAACATTCTTGTTTAATTTGTTCACGCGAATTTTTGGTCACATTCTTAATTCTTGTCTAGTTAAAGCTAAGATGTAAAATTTGTGTCATTCTTTCTTAAACATAGGTAAACAATAATATAATTAATGAATAATAATACAAAGATCTTAAACATAGGTAAACAATAATATAATTAATGAATAATAATACAAAGAGACAAACGACACGCATGCATAAACGAAACATCGTCCTAATCGATCAACAGGTCTTCAATTCTAACCTTACAATTATTATTAATAATAATAATAATTACTAATAAAAGAAAAACACTGACACAAAGCGCAATTAAGGAAAACATCACAATTAATTAAGCACAAATAATCACACGCACTGCCATGCGTCTTGCAAATTATTATTATGTATTGATTGATTTATTATCTGTCTTGCAGATTAGGCTGCATTGGTTGGACGCTGAAGGTGAAAGGCATCTCAGACTTGTACTCTGCCGCCGCATTATTACTATTGTTTTCTCTGTGGTTGAAAACTTCCCCAAACTGATCTCCCAAGTTCCGGTTCATCTCTGCTATCTCCAGTTCTCTCTGCATATAATATACATTACATTCCATTCATTGTTAATTAATGTGTGCAAGCTAGCAACGTGATCATCATTAACCAGCCCACTTATTAATCAATTCCATCAGGCTTAATTCGATCAAATAGTAGTTTATTTACTATGCATTTGTAGTCTCTTTAGTGTAATTTTGGACACAAAAATGATCGCTAAAAATCTAAAATTACTATTACGTAGATTAAAATATATATTTGATTGGGTCATATATCTGACATTGTTTCTAGAACTAAACCTTAGTAACATCATTTATGATATTTCTTTTCAAATAATTAATCCACCGATTAAAAGTGTTACGACAATGAATTGAATTGAATGAGCCTAATTAATTTAAGTAGCTGGCGTTTCATTTAATTTCATTTATGCAACACATTAAGATATATATATACTTAATTATTCGATATATCCACTAATTATTAATCATTTCCTAGCTAGGAATTGGTCGAGGCATTCATATGTACTGCGGTCAAACCGTTGACTACTAATGTCTGGATTTTAAGTAGAGTTGCTTTTCAGGTTTAGGTCAAGCTTTGGAATTGAATCCCTTTCTTTTCTATATATCCTATCATCCATAAGTAAGTCGGATAATAATAATCATGAATAAATAAAGCTGTTCTTAATCGCATCGATTAAAAAGACGTACAGGTCTCGTTGTGCTCGAAGTTACAGTTTCATGAGTTTCAACCCTCGGCCGTCATGTCAATAAAATTTAAGAGAGAACGTGCATTTTGCTATGTTGTAAAAACCGGACCGAAGGGTGATCCGGACGAATGACCGGGTCAAGGGTCAACCTGGACCCGGAGGGTCAACCCGGTCAACGGGCGAAAAACCCTGTCAACCTTTGTTAAAATTAAAACATAAAATATCCATAATTATAAATTATATTAAGATTATAAAGATAAAACATACTTTCATTTATAATTAAATAGTGATAGTATATAACAAGTATTACAATAATAATATTGTTCTAAGATCTTAAATATACAACTATAAACAATATGTGTGAATGATGGTTGTTATAAAATCGAATTAAATTATACTACGTATAAATAACTTTCAATTATATTTGAAATGATGATATGTAGACATATATAAAAAGCAAGATAATACTCCGTATCAATATTCAATAATAGTTATTCCCTATTAGTATTTTGATGATGTTTGATAATATCAGTTACTAATTACTCCGTATAAAGCTTTAACAATTTGGCTTAAGGCTTATAACAAAATAATGATATAGAAATATATAGATTGAACTCACGACCATAATAAGCAAGCTACTGTGGCATATTTGGATACCGGTGTGGATAATATTGTAGAGGTTGCGGGTTCAATACGCCCAAACAATGTTTGAAGCAATGGTCTGGGCGGGTTACACTTGTTCTCCGGGTTTGGCCGGGTAATGGGCTGGATTTCCGGCCGGATCAACAACGGGTCTTCGGTTTTAAGCGGGTTTGGGCATATTTGCGGGTTACCCATAACCAGCCCAGTATTTCTAGCGGGTCGCCGGTTTCCGGGTCGACCCGCCCGGGCCGGGTCGGGTCTTACAACATAGGCATTTTGGTGCACAAATGTATACACTTGACACACATTTGTAGTAATTATGTACAAATGTGTGTCAAATGTGTACGAATTTTGTGTACGTACACCAAGAGTTGTTATAAATTAGAAGCTAATTAAGGAAGTGGCTTACCATCCGGTATCTGAGTTGTTCATTCTCCTCTCCGGCGCCTTGAATCTGATTATGATTACAAAAAAAAAAATCCAACATTATAGAAAATGCATGTTAACTTAAACATGGTTACCTTATTATATACGGAGTACTACTATATATAGGTATGTTATAATTGGCGGTAGTAACTAAATAAAGTAGACATTGTACTACTCGATCAAAAACCTTAAATTCGTATTCAAGCAAACGTTTCAATGCCCTAATATCTTGTTTTACAAGTCCATATAGAGCAATGACACATTGACACATTGAGACCAAGTCTATTTTTTTTCAATCTCAACTCCAAAAATAATCTCCATTTTATTACATCAATTCATTAGTAATATTCAAATACTAACATCGCTGCATCACCTATTGAATGAATCAATTTTATACCAAGTACTTGTAATTGTTTCACAATTATATAGTTTTGAAATTACAACCAAAATCTCACTAGATAAACTTAAATTTGCGTTAATTCGAGAAAAAACACTTGTAACTAGATATTTTACCAAAATGGTGAGGTTATTACAAGTCGATTGTAGTTCTGGGAGAAAATTCTCAAAACACGGGATTTTTTTGCAACACACGCCAAAACACGGGACTTCAAAAAGTTTGACAAAAACAAGGGAATCGGAATTCCATTTTCCGAATCCAAAAAAACCAAGGCTGGGGCGCATGGGTATGGGAGTGGGTGGGGGCTGGGTAAAATATAAAACCCCATTTTTTTATTAAGTAATGTAGCTTTTTGTTCTCCATTTTTTATAAAATATATATCAAAATTCATAACTTTTTATTATCTTTCATATGACATCAATATCCCATATAAAAAGTTTTAAAAAAATTGAAGTTTCAACCGTATGTAGTTTTTAGTTTCAACAATTATCTTAAATAGATCCAAGTGCTAAAATAAAATATCATTATTAAAATAATTGAAAACATTCTACATTTGAAACCTCAAAAATATAAAATAAATTTTATATATGAGATATTAGTGTCATTAGAATGATCATAAAAAATTAAGAATTTCAATATATTTTTTGTAAAATTTGGAGTAAAAATAAAGAAGTTATATTAAATAATAAATAAATGGAATTTACCCATGTTTGCCAACCCCCTCCCCTCCCAGCCAACCCACCCCCTCCCAACCCACCCAAACATCCCATTCGGAAACCCTCTTTCCGAATCCCTCAATCTTAGAAACTCTAACCAAACTCCCGTGTTTTTGCTCGATCTGCTCATTGATAATTCCCGTTTTTTAAGAAAACACCCTAGTTGGTGTGTTGCATGACTAGATTAGCTATATACGTGTATATTAGATTTATTTCTAAGGAAGTTTTTTATTAAATGGGTTTCAATTTCAGACCACATTGGATCAAATCAAGCCAAACTTTGAAAGTTTTAAAATGCATATAAAACAGACACAACCAAACTAGACATAAAGTTTTGTTCAACTAAAAACAATCTAAGTTGATTGGAATAATTGGGACTTGAGCTTAATTAGATTGATATTCCTTTTTAAATTTCTAACCGTTGCACCATATAATTTTGGTTAAAATTTCAAAGAGATTCCATGGATTGAAGCATTTAAATATACATAGAATACTCGTTTGCTTCACTCAATAATTGGGGATACTATTTATGCAATGCCATTATCGCGACAGTTATTCGTGTTCTTTTCTTATTAATGAAATCTATGCGCACTATTGTTTTTTTTAGAATTATAGTTCAACGTTCTTGTTTTTTTATGGCATACACACATGTATATGCATATGCATGAAAAAGGGTGCCATTTAATTGGATCGTTTTGGTAGGACATTACGAGTTTGAATATTGAATAGATGTGGAGCTAGGAAGTACGGAGTACTTGTATACAGGATTAAAAAGAAAAGGATATAAAATATGCTACCTCTGTTCCACAACTAGATTCTGCCTGGATTCTTCTTGTTGTACCCACTATTGTACCCACTTTTGTACACATCATGTCTTTATAGACATATTTTTGTTTATGACCGGGATTCATAGACAAAAAAAACTCCTCACAGAAATGGTGGGTACAAAAATGAGTACAATAGTGAGTACAAACAGATTTTTCCATTCTACTTTCACCATGTTCAAATCCAACATCTGACGGTCAATATTGGAAGATATATTCTTATAATTAAAATCTATTTAAATTAACATTTCAATAATATGTGTTAAAATACAGTAGGAATATTATTGTATTAGTCCTAAATAGGACTAAAATTAACCCAAAATTCAAATATAGGACTACAATCTTTTTATTAGCAAAATAAGACTAATATATGTTCTTTCTTCTCATTATACCCTCTTCCAATAAATTCTACTACGTCTGTATGTTTTTTTTTATTTAATTTTTTATGTTTTATTATTATATAAAAAATCCTATTAAGGATGATAAAGGAAAGGGTAGAATAGGAGGAGTTTGTCATATTTTGGGAATTTAAACTTAAAGCTTCTATTGTTGCGATTGTGCTATTATTTAATCAAGACGTGAACTTAAATCTTCGATATTCAAAATTATTTTTGTATAATTAATAGTCAAAGTTAATAAAGTTTGACTAATAAATTAAATCAAAAAGACGTGAACTTAATTGTGGGACACGTATCCTCATTTAATATCACCAAAAATCGAAGTAAAAGTAAAGACAAGTAATCCTTATATTTCACAATGGTGGAATTATTAATTACTAGTATATTCAGGATGTGTATGTATGTGTACTTCAAAGGAAAATAAATAGCAGTGATCAAAATAAGATGAACTATTTTGATGGGCACTTACCCGTTTTGTAATGTTCCTCCAAACCTCCATCTGTTTCATTTCACAAATGAGAAATGAAATTAAAACAAGGTTCAATATAACGGCGCCCAATATAACCTATATATTTGAGACGCCTGGAAATGCTTTACTTTTGGTAAGCGAAGGTGGTTTATTACTTTTTTGGGTTATTGTTGGATATATTGAGAAAATTAAAAGGGCAAGATTTAAGATCATTTAAAAGATTTCCATTAAAAAAAAAGATCATTTAAAAGATTCAGAAAATTAAACTTCTGTAAAAACAGTGTACCTGTTTATCAGAGATGATCCTTTGCCCATTCTGAAGGGAATCCTCCAAAAACATAAGCTCTCTGTAGCTCAGGGATGAGATATCTTCTCCCTTCAGGTGCCTGCAGATACACACACATATATAGATATTCATAATAAGAATGCATGGATTATTTATTTATTTATTGATTCAGTTTATTTTGCAGACTCCTTATCAGGCAAGTATGTGCTAATTAACTAAAATTTGTATGTGATCAACTTAAAGATGATAATAATGACAATGAGAATGCATAAAAAGTACACATTATATTGCATATAATTACCTTAGCTCAACTTGCATGTTGTCATTCTCTTTCTTGACTCTATTGATTTCGTTCTCCAAATCCTGATTTGTTTGAATAATGATGATTAAATGGGAAAGCAATTTTATTGGAGTAATTAAGGGGTGGAAAAGGGCTAGTTAATTACCTGCGACAAAATTGAAATATGTTAACGAATCCTAGAAAATATGCATCCAGTTGGCTTTATTTGTTTATTTTACAGCACGGGAACACAACTAATGAGATATTTCCCTAAATACAGAGTATGAATAACATAACAAATTTTCTTACTATACATAGCATTACAATTCTTTTCTTTCTCAAAATAAGGAACTCTTATTTAAGAATTCTTTTATTCTTCTTATTCTTTTAATATGACTAAATACGATAGTATATCCTACTGTCGGAGATATTTAGAGAACATAACATAGTTATAATTTTACGTATTCCATACTCCTATTTTGAGCACTTTCTTTTGATTAATTCTATGAATGGCACCTAGTGGATGTTTTGGACTCATAACTTCACATTCCCTCTGTTTAAGAAAATTTGTCCAAAATTGATTTTTTTTATCAAAAGATAATAACCGTTGGACAATAATTTTAGTTATATGTTATACTTGTGTAAAATACGAAGTATACAACTTTTATACTTTTAAAAAACATTTTTGACAAAGATTATTTTTGTATATTTGAAATAGTTTCGTGTTATAAATATCATTTATCAAACTTGACTATTATTGACCAACAAAGTAAATATGATCGAATTTTATGGAATGAAAAGAATAGTAAAAATAGGGTATCCAGTAAAAATACTCCAACTTAAACTTGATTGTGTTAACAATTCAAGTATATCTTCTTAGGACTTTTACAAATAATGGTGTATATATACATGTTGGTGGTCAAAATTATTCATTGACAAACATAAAAGTCAATGAATAATTTTACTTGACCCAAGTCTAATAGCACCTTTTTCTTTCGATTTTACTTGAATTGGAAAAATAAATAAGCATTTGAAAGGGATTTTTTATGAAAAGAAGTGTCCCAACATAATTTTTGATAATTCACTTCATGGTACAAGTTTGTGCCTTTAGGTCAAGGCAGCTTTACGAAGTTTGGACCAGGCAAAAGGAAGTTCATCGTATCAATGGATCTTGTCAAAGGATACATCAATGGCAAAAAAAACACTCTTAATATGTAGCTAGGTGATCTGGTGATGATAAGACACATAGTTATATCATTACTTTTTGCAACAAAAGGGAAAATCTGTATATACACACCCCTTATTTATTGTAAGTTGTAACTCGATCATCAACAAGCTAGAATGAAAATATAATCTATCAGATCTGTAGCTCTTTGATGTAACATACATACATCCTAGCTAAGCTAGCATCTCTGATCTGATCGATCTTTTGTGTAGAGAATTTATATATATACACGCACATATATAATAAAGTATAGGGTCTAGCTAGATGAGATCTCAAACAGAAAAAAGTGCATCTATCCTAAGCTTGAATTGCTAGCTATTTCTAGATCTCTTCACACAAATTTCCGGCTTACATGTTTCTAGCAAAAAACCAACCCCTTCTATTATCCCTTAGTTCTCTTCTAGATCGATTAGCTTTGACTACTACACATTCCATTTCTAGATCTGCTCTTAGATTTCCTTTTCCCATTTTCTTAACACACTTTCAGCAACAAACACACCCTTTTTCCTTTTCTTTCCATCCCTTTTTTTGGGGGTATATGAGAAAGAATATATACATATTGAACCTCACCTCATGCTTTGCATCCCACAGTCTTTTTCCAGTGAGTTTGTGGTATTGATCCAGAATATCAACAACCCTTCATGCAATTGAAAAAA